TCTTCCTCTTTTTCTTGCCCGACTTGCTAGCTTCAATAAGAATAGCAATATGCTCATCCTTCTTTATCAGTTCTCTGGTCCTCTGCAACATATTGCGGAGTTCCTAAACGCTGACATTCAGCTTATTCATGTTGTAATTCATGATGAACGGATTGAAGGAAGGAGGCAAAGAATTCAGGATGGCATCTATCTAGGTCGCAAAATCCAGCCCGGATTCAAGAGCCTCAAGCTCATTGATGTAACCCATCATCCGAAGACAATGATCATGAATTTGCGGCCCCTTGGACATCTGCGCGGTCATGAACTGCTTCAAGACCTTCTATCGAGTAAAACGATTCTACTCTTCATACATTGTCTTTAAACTATCCAATATGTCCTTGGCGAGTTCGATCTGATCGAACTGCCTCTGTATCGGATTGTCCAGTGAGGCAATGATGTAACACCGGGCAAGGGAGTTTTTCTCCTCCCAATCCTGATATTCCCTCCTTCGGACCTCAGAAGCCCTATCACCCGGACGCTCTGGGGCAGGATTTTTAGCCACTTTTTCTAACTTTTCAGAAGTTAGGACCAGCATAGGTTTACGATACCGGTCAGCATAGTTTGGTCCTTTAAGCTTATTGTCGTCCAAAAGCTTCGCAAAATGTCTGTTTGCCATTTTCTGATAAAAGAGCAAACATTAGTCCACAACCTAATTCGATTCATGTTCATTACATAGATACGGCTTTTAATCTATGTTCCATTCCCATTTGTTCACCTCTTAGATTTCCCTCCTATCTCAATGATGGAGACAACGACTTATGTCTCTAGAAATGTGGGAAATCACATAGGGTGCTTGGAGCCAACTGTTTCAGCTGCATAACCCCACCACCTTTCTGTGAAGGATCATATCCACTCATCATATGAGCTTTCCCTTTGGCCTCTGTCAGACAAGGTTCATTGCCATTTTAGGTTAAACATTTATGTCCAATGAGTGCTTGCCCATCATATTTGTGAACGCCAAGGTACCGTGAGAGAGTTCCCATTTTCTAGTGAAGCCCCTCCCACATCGGTCTATGACACCCCTATCATCTTATGAAACATTCCAACAGATTCAGTAGCAAATGGATAGCCCATTTTCTGGTGCGTTTCCTCATTACTGAATGACCCATCTTCATGTTAATGATGGAAGGCCTTTAGAGTGTTCATCATATGAATCTCCCTATCTCATGCACTCATATTGCAGGAGGGAACAAAGTTATGCCCTAGTTTAATTTAGGTCAAACCAGAGTGGCTCCCACTGACTTTCATAAAGCCATATTTCGGTGGGCCCTAATCGGCTAGGGTTCCGCACGGATCTTCTTTAGAAGGTGTGGGGCCCACCATTGAGGGAGACCATCCAATGATCTTTAGGGACATCATGGCAATGATGTGCATTCAGCCATGGTGTGCGTAAGAGCCACTGTCACATCTGCATGGGCCAAGTACTTATGGCCCATGAACGTTGCACATCACACATCCATACATCACATGCAAGGATAGAATTGATCCAATCAATTAATATCTATAAAGCCCATGATTTAAAGCCCATTTTAATCCATAACATTATTTAATAACATTATCTAGGTATATGGGCCGAATAGGGTTAAGCAGTTCGGCCCATATAGCTTATCTGTAATGAGTGGGCTTTTAGAAGTTCTAACTTTTAAAACTGTGCCTTACAGGTGTGGACCGGATTAAACCTCTTAATTAAATATCAATCCCTTGGCCCAAATGTGGGAAATTAGGCCTGACATCAGCCTCAATCGAACCCTAGATTCGGTCCAACCAGTTTGGACCAATCTGGTTCGAATGGGCCTAGGGTTTGATTTTTAATTAAAGATTTAATCCAAAAATTGATCTGAAATTAAATCTACTGATCAAGAATTAACAAGAATCAGTCATGGGGCTGTTCGCACATCTCCAACCTGCAAAACAAATGTCAGAACACAGTTCGCAGTTTCATAAACTGCAAATCACAAATAGCGATCTTGGTATCTGCGAAATCTCCTTCTGCGCCACCATCTTCGATCAAGAAATAAAACAAACAGAAAACCTAATTTTTCTATTAATATTACATCTGACGAATCCTATACATTCCGTCTAGAAAAATAAAAAAATAATTATTTATAGACCAGAATGAATAGAACTACAAAATCGTAGTTTTCTGCGCCAATCAAGATTTCGATCTCCTTTGTACGAACAACCCATAAATCAAGAAAATAATAAAGAACAGTTCTAAAATTATTTCAGATTTATAAAAATTAATTTCAGATCATTCACCCTTTAACTGGGAACCGATTTCCCAAAAAAAACCCTAATCTGCGTAAATCGGATAGAACGCCTTCTACCCATTTGCGCGGGTTTAGATCTGATTTAATTTGGTTCAAGATTTGGTGAAATTTCAAAAATTTTCCTCTCCCCTCATCTGTGAATCACATTCCCTGTTTTAGAAAATCTGCATTTTCAAGGATCAATCTTGAACCATAAACTGAACTAGATCTGAAACCAGAAGTAGGAGAGGGATATACCTGATACGGAAAAATAGTATCTCCCAACGAAGGTGTTCATGCACAAAGAAAATCTCCAAAGATTGCTCCCACTGAAGATGACACAGTGTAGGGTGGAGCATAATCAGTAGTGTTCTTTCCAAGAACCGAACCCTTCACAGGAATTCGATGGAGGCTGTGAGCACGACTTCAGATTAGCCTTTCTCCAAAGGCTGATATCAAGAACTGTTCTTGATCGCTCCTACAAGAATGGAGATCGAACTGGCAGTTGGCGGCAGCAGGAGGAAACGCAGGGAGAAGATGGTGCAGTCACACTGGTCTTGTCTTCTCTTTGGGTAATCTGAGATTTGATCTCTGAGGTTGGATGTCTCTGGGGATGAACTGAATGGTTCGCTCCCTCCTCCTTTTATAGACTTAAAGAGATCGGCTCCTAATCCCATTAGGAGTTTCCTGATTCAAATCCTTATTTGAATCTAGACTCTCTTTAAGTGATAAGGGTAAACCCTTATCTTATCTGCAGATTAGATCAACTCTCTCCTAATCTCATTASGAGGTTTCCAGATCTAAATCTTTATTTAGATCTAGACTCTCTGAGTGGATAGTGAGAAGACCCTATCCTATCTACTGATCAAATCCCAGATCCTCCCTTTTTTAATT